AAAAAAAAAAAAAAAAGTTAAAATCTTACACGGAAAGATACTACGTACATGATCTTGTAAAATTCCTGCAAATTTTATGGCTAGCAATGTTCTAGTGATTTTTACAAATTGATTTACAATTACATACGTTTCTCAAATCTTTGAATCTTGATCACTGATCTTCGAATAACTATACAAGACAATGAATTATTCATTTCTAGGGTTATTATTTCTAGTTACTACCTGTTAAATATTTCGAACGTTGCCTTCCATTTATCATTGGACGGTTCATTGTCAAATTTCAAATGACGTAAAATATTGAAAAAATCAAATGTCATATCGATATAAAAAATAAACGAAATCAATGTTCATATATTCCTCCGACGAATATTATTTTCTCAAATACGTTTCTAGTTCCAAAAACTAGGGTCATGCTAGGGCATTTTACGTCTTGCACCGAACTTGAACTTTCTATTGAATTCAAAATTGAATACTTCTTAATCTTACGTACATATCGATACAATGAGTTTTTTAGAGAACGAAAACGACCGTATATTATTCTTATTTGTATAGAAAATTTTCACACACAGAACATTCATCAGGTCTAATACAAAATTACAATTACATCGAGTAGATGATTCGATTCGGAAATCTCGAACGCGCTTAACGAGTCAAATATGGAAATATGAATCAAAATGACTTGAAAATAAATTCTTTGATATTTTACGCGAGATACGCGTATCAAGTAGAAAATTCAGTAGAATAAACTAAGTTCCAAGGAATACAATCGATCTCTGTAAAACGGTTTGCGTTGTTTACAAGACAAATAAAAGTTTCATCTCGTTGAACGCGTACGCGTGATACACGAATACGCGGTTGCTACTGTACAAATATACCTCTAGACACGAGAAACAAAAGCGCCGTCGTTGCACGTTGCTGAGTTTCTTTCTTCTCGAGTCACTTCCTGCGCCGCCGGTGACTCACGTGAATCACCGAACAGTCAAGGAGAAAAAGAAAACGGACGAACAAGCGAAAGTATTCGCGAGCCTCCTTACGTCGAGCTTTGTTCACATTTCGCGTTTCGCGAAAGTGCATTCAAAACCATGAATTTTTCCCGCGAATCGCTGCTACGCTTATCGCGAGCTCGATAAGTCGAGACGTAACGACCCGATAGAACAGATAGCCGAACCTAACCTATAAGGGAGACCTGGCTCCTTTCCAGCCATCCAAACGACATCACGACTTTGACACAAGAAAACCGGCGTGAATGAAACATCGCCTGCATAAGAACGACACTAATGTACTGTAGTTGATGAAAGATCGACGCGGAAAAGAAGTCGAGTGAGAAAATGGACGAGATGATAAGGACGGTGAGGTTGGAGGGCAGTGCCGTCTGAATTTCGAAAATCTAACGAGGCACGTCGCGGGACACCGCCTGAGAAAACGCGCGGGCGGCCACCGTGTACAATTTCCGGCGGCGTTTGCCTAGCGTGCCACGCCACGACGACCTCACCGGGGGTACGGGACGCTGTTCTTTTTTTAGAGAACTACGTATCCCTATAGAGGGACATTGGTCTTTTCTCTACCTCTTACCTTGCGCCTTCAAAAATATTCGTTGAATCCCGTTCGACGTATACACCCGTGTATCCCTCGGATCTAATGGCCCTCTTCTCGTTGCACTCGTATACGTTGCTCTCTCTCTCTCTCTCTCCCTTTCTCTCTCTTTCCTTGTGCACTCTTCGTCACACTATCTTCGTCTCCCTCCTCGCTGGCTCGTTCTCTCTCTCTCGCGTTCCCCGTCCTTGTTCACAGCCCACTATATCCCAATCTACGACAGATTCTCTGGCGATTACTCGCTTCCTACTCCTGTACTGCTCGGTTCGTCGTCCCGTACACGTAGCGAACACATCGAAAGTGATCGTGGGGAGAATCCGTGGACTGGTGCCACCGATGAATAATACGGTCGCCACGAACGAAACGAAACGTGATAGAGAAACACTGGTGGTTGGAGAATATTCCGCGCTATTCACGAAAGTCTCACGCGGTCGCGGGTGCACCAAAGCTCCTCACAGGGCACGGTCCTCGCTCGTACTCGGTCGCCTCGATGAGCCGATAAAATCACTGGCTCGAGGCGGCTTCTCCACGCACTATTCCGGGTACACAACTTCAGTTCGGGCAGACGCTTTTGCCAGATACGCACGACCGATTTCGATGCGGTTCCTCTCCGTTTTCTAAAGCACTTTCGCGAAAAGCAGCACGACACCAGCCCACGATTCTACCGTTATCTAGGGCGATGCCTCTCTGCTGCTCGCCGCTTTGCCCTCTGTCTGGGACTATGCCACTACATAGACTGCGAAGAACGCCGTGCTCGATGCCGAATACGCGGCACGCGGCTACTTTACCGGCTAATGGCGGCAGTTGCTACGTCGATAACAATTCAAACATGGCATTTCGCTATCGCGCGAAACTTGCCTCGAAATAACATTCGAGTCGATCACGTTGCTGTGTTATTTAAACACACTAGCGTGACATAACGCAAAGAATTTGAACAGCAAGAAATATATCGTTTAAAAAATTCTCAGTTTAATTATTAGCGATTGCAGTAAGTTAGCGGTTCTCGTTATATTTTCATCTTACACTATAATAATAATAACGAAGTTCTAGATTTTATCGAGGATCTCTTCTCGTTTTCTTGATCTTCCAATTTCTATGATTCAAATCAAAAAATCTTTCTATCACTATTAATGCAAAACAACAACTTTCCAAAAATAAAATAAAATAAATGAAATCGAACAATCTTACGGGCTAAAATTAATTAATTGTGAATTATTACACTGAATATACATTAGAATTTACAAATTACCAATTTTTTCATTTTAGAGAATAAATTAAATATGGCATCTGTATTTCGAATTGAAAAAAATCATCGTGGTTTTCATGGATTTGTAACTATCTACTAGTTATGTTTCTCATCTAGGGAAATGCACGTAATCATATTCAAATTCTTTTCGATAGACATTTAGTTTCCCGTTTTTTAATTGTTTTTCTGCTTTGTTTTTTTATCTTTTTCTAATTTATAATAGTACGTTCTTCGTTTAAATTTTTTAATTACCAGAAGCAACATAAGAAACACTGCAATTTTGGTGAGTTTTTACAATTTTCAAATTTTATTATCATGATGTCTTGCGCTAAAGAAGTTTATAATTCTTTATTTATGAATTAAAATATGATTCAGAAATAAATATTTATCATTCGTAATTATTTTATGTACGTTAAATATTTTACATCTAATATAATTGTACGTTGATACGTCTATACGCGCATTTAAACTGTATACATATATATGTACATATTTCTTACTCTAAAATGAAATATTTAAATAAATAAATTTCTCATCTGACTGATTAAGATTTAAATAAAAAGTACAGAAAACTAGAATCATTATTTAAAAATAATTTTTCATAATTATATACGTACATGAACGGCACATTTCATGTAACTGTGTAATGTAATTTCGACGATATACTTTAATCTTGTATTTTTTTATTATTATTATTTCTCTTTAATATGTAATAGATAACAAGTACATACTATCTATTATCTATTCATAACGTTTAAAGTTAATAAAAAAACAATACAAGATTTTCTTAAACGTTTGAGGTTATGTTCGGATTATTTTGAATTAATTTTACTAGTCATTATTCATTAATTGAGTAAGTGTTATTTTTAATATTGGTGATCTCATTCTTCGCGTTCAATTCAAGGAAACAATTCTGTCTTTCAATTTTTCGTATAATAGTTATTCGTTGAAAATGGAAGCAAAGAGAAAACGTCGAAAATTAAAAGTTGCGAGTCAAGCCGAAATTTTACGATCACATCAGAGAGACGGTGACTTTGTCAAATATTTACGAGAGAAAATTTCCGATGTTCTGCAAATTCTCGAGAAACGAACCGGATTGCTACCTCTTATGCATTCAAATATTCCATTCAAATTGATTTATTTCTTTTTTACCACGGGAATGGGAAACCAAACATTAGGAGAAGAATATACTGGCATTGTACAGGCTAATTTAAATGCTCAAAAAGTTCCATCTATATATGTATGCTGAAATACTATAAAATAAATGTACTATATTTTATTAACACACTATTATTAACACACAAAATATTTACTTATTATTTAGGCGAGGCTGCTAGCGGTAATTTTAGAATGTCTTGGAGAGAAAGGATTGATAAGATTGCTAAAAAAATTAGAACTATCTGTCAATCATCCTTATAGCGAATTAACTCCTACTGCTGTAACATTTTTAAATTCTGTCATAACAAAAATGTATACGATGATACCTATTTTCATAGTAGTGCACAAGGGATTGTTTTATATCTTTGGTCAATATTATAGCTTAGGTAAAAGAATAGCGCGAGTAGATTATGCAAAGGTAATTTGTGCAAAATAATATTACATTAGTGACTGAAATGTACTTTCTACTGTTTCTTTTTAAATTTCAAGGTATATGGCCAGAGGCCTACTGATACTATCAGTTGGGGATTGAGACTATTAGGAATTGCTACTCTCGCACAATGTGTATTAAAAATCTGGCAAAATAACCATAGTGAAAATTATTCTGATAAATACTTAACAGTTGCTGAGAGACATAATATGCTGATGTGCCAGTTGTGCCTTGAAAATGTGCCAACAACTACCACACCGTGTGGTCATTTGTTTTGTTGGTTTTGTCTCACTGATTGGTTAAATACTAAACCACAATGTCCACTGTGTAGAGAACATGTTATACCTTCTAGGATAGTATATGTAATGAATTTGTAAATATTTTCTACTACTTATATATAAAGAGAAATTAATAAAAAAGAACATGCAACGTTTTTTTAAATTAAGGATAAATGATCCACACTAGAACTATTTTATGCATTTTAACATTCTTATAATTTTTTCTCATTTTTTTTTTAACATTAATCACTATCCATCTGTGCTAATAACAGTTTTATACAGATGGTGGTGGTAAGTACACATATATGCATCGTCAATAAATTGTAAAGCAAAAAACTAATAGACACGCATACGCATTTACATATACATATATATATATATACACACACACAAATATTTTATATATATATATATATACAAAAATATCAAATCTTTATTCATATTATACGCATACACTCTATTCCTTTTCTTTTCTGTATAACAACGCATTATTCACATAAACGACAATGTACAATTGTTTTATTTTCATTGTATAGCGCTTTTTATAAAATCCTAAATTGAGTCAAGAAATTGATAACAATAAATTCATAATTGCGAAGATAGGAAGAAAGGAGAAGGAGAGGGAAGAGATATTAATAATGTTACAGTCATAAGGTTGTCTGTGTTGACGAAAATATTCCGGTAATGTTTTCAATTATCTGGCTAATGTTACTTGGTTCGGAATTTTCTTTCATTCGAAATCCAGTTTGACTATAAGCGGTGTAAAATACATTTCTTAAAAAACATAACTTGTCTTTGCGGGAGCTGGAACAAAAACTTCAAATATACATGGAATTTATAGTTCCTTTGTAACTCCTGTTAAGAGAAAAATATGTTTTGATACTTACTGTGTTATCGACGAATATACGTCATGCTCGGTAAGCGTTTTGCTCATATCAGTAATAGATTCGGAGGGCTCATTACTTGAATTAGATGTCAGTTGTTCTATAAGCGGTGCATTAGCAGTCGTAGAACCGTGTAAACTTCCGGTTCCGGTAACTATCTGCCATGAGTCAATAGACGAGGTGGATTCGGTTCGTTGTCGACGTCCAACTAATGCGACGGGAGAAGTTTGACCACGTGGCACAGATTTGTGAGCAGTTTCTTCTTTGTTCGGAGAAGATGGCAATGATGGCGCCTTTCTGTAAAACCAGCACTTAAATTAATCGAAGAAAAATATACAGTATTAGACATGATAAGAAAGTATATGTACTTATTACTAAATTCTTCAGTTGCTAGGGGAGAATTAGTCAAAATTATTTTCGATGGTGATTTATCTTTGTCATTTCTGCTATTTCTGTTACTATTAAAACTACTTGCACTAATACTTGGTTCCTCTGTCATCGGGTCCATATCAAATATGGGCTCCTCTATCTGCGAATCACTATCGGACGAGTTTGATTTGCTATCATGCTTAATACTAAAGTTGATGGTATAGTCTTCATCATAAAAGTGTTAAATAAGAAAGTATATGTACCTATTACTAAATTTTTTAGTTTCTGAAGGGGAATTAGTCCAAATTAATTCCGATGATGAATATCCATTTTGGCTATCTTTACCACCTCTGCTAGCTCTGCTAGTTCTCTTCATATCAGAACCATTCGCACTAATACTTGGGTCTTCTGTCGTCGAATCCATATGAAATATTAGATGCTCCATCTCGTCATTATCAGACGAGCGTGAGTTGCTATCACGCTTGATGCTAAAGTCTTGCTTGATGCTAAAGTCTTCATCACAAATGTATTTTAAAAAATAAAAGCAAAAGAAGAAAATTTCTTCTCCTTTGCTTAGTCGATCCTGTAAATCATGGCCAAACAGCATCCAATCATATGCAATGGTATAATAAAGCATCTGGTGCGCATCCAATGAAGTGTGAATTACATTATCAGCCCACAAGCTGAGTCTTAATAATGAAATAAATAAAGGTGTACGATCCCATCCTATATAAATATAGTTTAATTCTAATTATACCGCGTAATCATTAAATTAAAAATCGTTCTTCACTAAGAAAAAACATACCTGAGATACAATGAATTAACATTCCATTACTACTCTCACTCAAATACTTTAATATGAGTTTTAAATAATTTTGAGTTAATATAAGTAGATCCCACTGTTGATAACGATCCCAATCGATTTGTAACTGAGAAGAAATTGTATCTTCTGGCACTTTGATTTGCGCGTTTACATAGGCCTGAGACCAATCAAATATCAAATTGTCAGCGACATAGTCATTTTCTCTAAACCCTTTAAAGAATTCACATCCAGGATACGGCAGTGAAATTATGGCAAAGTTGGAATATCTTCCCAATTTGTCTACTTTCTCCGAGGATGACACGCTGGGTACCAAACAAAAAAGCTCTGTTTAAAGTTCTCTAAAAGTGGATTCACAGAATAAAAACTTATCATGCTATTAACTACTATGAAACTTTATTGACTCAGTAAAAAACTGAAGTATTGCTATCCTAGATCTCAGTTTTTTTTTTTTTTTTTAATTTGTGTTCAAACGATTTTTTTGACCACAGTAGAATCAATGACATTCTTACTAATTTGAGCAATACAAACAGTTTAAGCTACAATATTATTTCAAAATTTCATTATTTCATTATTTCAAAATTTATCTCATAAAATATTTCAAATAGTTAATACTGATCTTATTTCCACTAATATTATAAGCAATGTTAAAGTAAAGAATGAAAAGGAGAACAATGAGAATTGATTTACTTACTTCATTCCATATTTGACCTTCTTATTCTCAACCATAAAATCAATAATAATTCCTACATTAAGAGTTTTCAGAAGTTTGATGTCCTGGCTTCTAACTTTATCAAACAATTGCCAGTCACTAACTAGAGAATCACTCTCAGGCAAATCAATTTTATCTACTTCTTGCTCAGTATTAGTTTCGCTAGTTTTGCCAACTTCGCTAGTTTTGCCAGCTTCGCTAGTTTTGCCAGCTTCGCTAGTTTTGCTAGCTTTGCTAGTTTTGCTAGCTTCGCTAGTTTTGCTAGCTTTGCTAGCTTCGCTAGTTTTGCTAGCT